TTCATAAGGAGAGATACGTTCGGACAGATAAGCAGGGCCAGAACCTGGTCAGGTTTAGACTCACCGGGGCTCTACATCTCCGCAGGGGTGGTGGACCAATTAGGAAGCTTCTGCCTTGGAAGCTTTTAAACAGTGGCTGGATGGTCATCTGTCAGGATATTTTGATTGTACTTTTTGTGCATGGCAGGGAGTTGGACTAGATGGCCCATGTGGTCTCTTCCAACTCTATGATACTATGAGCACCACCCTGCAGAGCCGGACACGACTAGACTTAATGTCAAGGGGAAATCTTTGCCTTTTATGAAATCCTTATAAGGGGTTGGCTTAACCTCCGGTTTGCCAGTAAAACTCAATTACTGTGTCACGGAAGATCCATGTCTAACAAGCGTGTCACCGCCATGAAAAGTCTGCAAAGCTCTGCCTTGGAGGGTAGTGGTTTTTTTCCCATCTGGGGAGCTCTTTAAACCAAGGTTGGGTGGGTCACTCTCAGGGCTGTTTCAGATGTGCATTCCTGCAGGGCAGACGGGGGTGGACTAGATGGCCCTTGGGAGCCCCTCCCAGCTCTCAGGTTCTCCTTATTCAGAAGAGCAGAGGACTGTTGCTGGCTCATTCCACTTCATTTAGAGTAACTGCGTGCAGCTTTATGCGTCTGCTCCTGCTTTAGGCATGGGCTCATTCTCTTCCAAAGGGAAATGCTGGGACTCCTGTTGAACTGGATGGGGAGCCTTGCTACGGTTTCCCCTCCACTCACCCTTGTGGAACCAGAGACAGGGTGGGCCTTGGCCTTGGTGGCATCTCTCTACCATTAAGATGTTCACTCCCAGCGACTCTTGCCAGGCACTGAGATACTGGGAGTCCTAATGCAGAAAAGGGGCACCCCAAAGGCCCTGCTTGTTGTGTGCCCACAGACCTGGGCTCCTGTTTCTCTTAAGAGGCAGGAAAGGAATCCGCTTCTTCTGTGTGGAGGCATCTTATATATTTATTTATTTATTTATTTGCAGTATTTATATTCCGTCCTTCTCACCCCGCAGGGGACTCAGGGTGGATTACAATGTACACATATATGGCAAACATTCAATGCCAATTTTTGACATACAAACATATAAAGACATACACAGAGGCTATTTAACTTTTTCTGGCCACCAGGGGAGCTGTTGCTTTCCTCGTCCACCTGCGACACTGATGAAGCACTTCCGCATTCCCCGCATGCTTCCCTGCTGAAATGCTTTTTGCTGGAGTCTTCTTTATCGCCTCATAAATCAGTTAATTTAGCCTCCCCACACTTTAAGGTGGTACCTTATTTTCCTACTTGACAGATGCAACTGTCTTTCGGGTTGCAAAGGTCGACAACAGGCTACACACAATTGGTTGGAAACCCACTCCAACCCGGGCCGGCTTCGAACTCATGACCTTTTGGTCAGAGTGATCTTAATGCAGCTGACACTCAGCAAGCTGTGCCACAATCCCGGCTGAACCTGGTGGATTGTGTGGCCTGCTTCCTCTTCCTTGGGGAGAGAAGTCTTGACGATCTTCCCCTGATGTGGAAATCTGAGCTGAGAGGACACTGAGGTGAGGGCAGGGTTTTTGGTGTGTGTCCAGAGCGACTTGAGAAACAACAAGTTCAACAGGGACAAATGCAAGATACTCCACTTTGGCAGGAAAAACGAAATGCAAAGATACAGAATGGGGGACAATGCCTGGCTCGAGAGCAGGACGTGTGAAAAAGATCTTGGAGTCCTCGTGGACAACAAGTTAAACATGAGCCAGGAATGTGATGTGGCAGCAAAAAAGCCAATGGGATTTTGGCCTGCATCAAGAGCATAGTGTCTAGATCTAGGGAAGTCATGCTCCCCATGCTCTATTCCGCTTTGGTTAGACCACACCTGGAATATTGTGTCCAATTCTGGGCACCACAATTCAAGAGAGATGTTGTTATTGACTTCCGGTAGCGGCAACATGGCGGGCGCCACGGAAAGCTGAAGCTCTGCAATCTGGCTTTTCCTCTTCTACCGCCAAACCCTTGGTTGAGCGGGAAACCTTTCCCAGCTCCCCCCAGCCCGGCAGCGAGAAGCGGGTGGGCGCTAGTAACTCAACCGGCAAAGCTGGTCTGCAGACTGACAAATTAGTGACCAGCTTAGCATACCGGTGAGTTGTGCAGGGTGCAGTAAAGTCACCTGGCCTAAAGCCGGGAACAGCCTGCCAGCCGCTATTTTAAAAGACATGAAGAAATAAAAGACAAGAAGCAGATAAAGAAAAAAGGGAATCCGGAGTGGAAAGAAAGCTACAAGCTTACTAATTCTCTCTTGGACTAGAAAGGCTATTAGCAAAATACACTCGTGAGTAACCCGTGAGTAACCATTAAACCATTAAACAAACAAAGAGCTCTATAGTGAGTTTGGAATGCGGACTGCAGACTACCAAATGTTGTTGTAACATATTGAACTATTGAGCTATTGAAATAATGATCCAGTGATCAGTGATCCGGGGTCTTGTGAACCAACAAATTGGATCCGCATTACTGTGATACATTGAACTATATGGGTGGAACTTTATTGGTTGAACTACTGAACTATTGAATTACATTGAATTACATCTGTATATTGAATTACATCTGTATCTGTATACCAACATATCTATACATCTAAACCAAAGTGTATCTACTTATTCTACCTATCCAGTGGAGCCAAGCCAGCCTATGGCCGGATGGCCCTGAGTAAACTCGGCGAAAACTCAGAGGAGTTATCCTCAGGATCAGGACTTAACTTCTAGCCCCAAAAATCTGGCGAACTATGATAGAGACAACGACCGCGAACCAGAGATTCTGGCTCTAAAGTGAAGTGACTGTGGAAAATGTTTACAGGAAGACGATATCCGCAAGGCATGTAAATAAAACTCCTCCATAAATAACCCTACATTGATCTAGTATAACCCCGGGGCTCAAATCCCAAGAGACCCACGCCAACAAAAAGAAGGAGGAGGGGACTCGATCTGGAGTAAAGTTAGAAAACCCAAACCCAAACGCAGTGATACTACAATGTCACACACTGTGGGATACTGTGGGATACTATGAATCGCTCCGAGCGAAGGGCGCAGAGTACGCCTCTAACTGCCGGGGTTTTTTGACTCCAGCGACACAGCGACACAGCAGAAACAAAGACTGAGCCCACGAGGGGGAGAGAGCAAAAACCGAGGCGTGGAGGAACAGAGGGAAAGGCGAAACGCGGAGAAAACCCTGAGGCTCTATAGGAACCACGGATCATAAAAAACCAACATAAAAGGAGCCAAACACACCGTTCGTCCCCCCACCCCACCCCTTCCTCCCCCTACTTGCAGTAATCGTGTCCGAACCCAAGCTGGAAAGAGGCGGAAGGAGAGGCGACGCGCAGGTGGAACGGGCCGTGCCAAGTCCGAGCGGACGACCTTCTACTCAACGAAAGGACTGGGACTGACTGGCGGGCAACACACAAGACGCACTCTCGCCAGGAAATCTCGCGAGACTGGCAGAGAGGGTCCTAAGCACAACAAACTGCCCCCAAAACTACCGTGTAGATCCAATACTTGATGCATACGAGACTGGGATACTATCTGGAAAATTGCTTTAAGGAACAGAGGGGAGGAGGGGATAAGGAAGGTGTAGAGTAAATTTAAGAGAGAAATATAGAAGAAGACAAAGGATCAATGAAAAGATAGGAAGAGTTGAAACAACAAAATAAATTGCAAATAGATAACCATCTGGAAAGCTAGCTTACCATAAATAAAATTTCTGACCCAAAACAGTCCATAGATAGAACAAATCAGGACCAGGGTAGTAATATAATAAATAAACTTCCTTCCCCTCCCAACCCCCCCCCCCAGTACATAACTTATCCTCTTGTTTCCATTTCCTGTTTTTAATATTTTGGATGTGTATAAAAATTAATAAAAACTATATTAAAAAAAATAAAAATAAAATAAAATAAAATAAAATAAAATAAAATAAAACAAAAATAAATAAACAAAAACAATATATACATAAATATATGAATGACTAGATAATGCTTAAGTGACTACACAATAAGGAAGAACCATAATATAATAATAGATCGTAGATAATATCGATAACATAAAAACACGCCAGTAATAAGATTAAAAACAAGCACATCTACACCCATCTGCAATAAAACATGGAAAAAAGGAGAGAAAACCAACAGGAAAAATTCGCTCACAGAAGAGATCGGGGTGAAAGATATCCTAAAAGAAATCTGGAAAATTCAAATGGAAATCAATAATCAAAATGAATTGCTAAGAGGAGAAATGAAGGAGATGAAAAAAGAGATGAAAGAAGAAATTAAGACATTAATAAAAGAGGAAATGAAAAACCTGGGAGATGACATGGAGAAATTAAAACAGGACAACAAAGACCTATTAAGAGAGAATAAAGAGATGAAGACAGAACAAGGAATTATGAAAAAGAAAATAGAGAACCTAGAAGGAAGATTAGCCACATCCGAATTTCAACAGGAATTATTAGAAGCCAAAGAAAAAGAACATCAATTAAGATTTAGAAATGTGAAGGAAGAAGAAAAAGAAAATATCAAAGAAACTATAATTGAGATCATATGCAATATTACTAAGAAACCTAGACCCAGTACGGAGACGGACCTAGACAGGGTATTTAGA